GGGGGGGAAAGAGAAACTAGAAAAAAAATCGTTTTGTTAGCTGTGAAGTACCACGAACGCAAATTATTAATGCTACCGTTTTTGTTGGTGTTACTGCTATTAACTGGAAAAACTGTAATTATTTTTGGGTAGAACTGTTTTTAACATTTTTCTTATTAACGTTCATTTTTTTAGCGAAAATTTGGGATATCAGGCCATTTGCGCCAGAGCAACGATGTGTGAAATCATTTGGTGGACATCAACATAATTTTGAAAAGGTATTCCAAAGCCATTTTGATGATCCTTGATAAACTCTGTAAGCTAATATGGAAATTGCAGGGAGTACCATTCAAAGCTTGGTGACGAAAGAATATTTTTTATCGTGGAAAGTTTGGAATTCGTTTTTTTATTTTTTGGAAAATGTTCATTAAATATTTTAGAATTTACTGAAATGTGCTTGGTCACCGAGTAGCCATCGTATCAGCTGTGGATCGAGTGATCGATACGTTTATGTATGGGATGTTTCGTCGCGACGAGTGCTTTACAAGTTGCCGGGCCATCAGGGATCCGTGAATGCCACAGATTTCCATCCGAAAGAGCCGATACGTAAGCTTTTTTTTCCATTTGTTCGAGACTTTATTTATATACTGCTGCATCATTGGTATCGCCGTACAGGCCTTCACGTGAAAGAGGCTCTCCGGTACAGTATATTTGTTTAACATATAAATGATAAGTAGCGGCCATTAGAAAGTCGAATCATAAGTGGACGGACCAAGTGGAGCGACCGGAGTGAGTTAAACTGATAAATAATTTGCGGCCTTTGATAGGACGAACCGTTATTTCTGAAGTAAACGGCCAGTCCAAACCGCGGAAAACATGGCGCGGCCATAATCCATAAATTTTACTCATCCTTTTGCAGTGATACAGTAGTGTTCCTTGGGTGTTGTTGAATGTAAATTCTACTGTTGCGCCCACATATCTCAATTTTTTGTCAGTTCTACAATATCATGTAAAGCCTAAGTTAGACCATCTCCCGTTCCTAAAATTGTGCTCCATATAAATTAAGGAATAGAGAAAAAAGCTTTTTCTGTAGTATTTTTTGCTATGTAAGTGCTAGCTGCATGCGAAAGAGCAGTGGAGCGAAGGATGCTTGAAGTTTTACATTATGACCATTATAAACAATCAGACTCTCCGTCGAAGCGGTGAAATGCAAGATATCATTGTGACTACACGAGAAAGTAAAATTCAATAAAATTCGATAGATGGTCAGGACGTTGCGTATTAGAAAGCAGTATCTTGAAGAAAGTAAAGGACTGTTTCGGTAGCTTCTGTGGTAAACTTCTGAGAATCTAGCACAGCGTGAAAAGGAATATCAAGATAGAACAAAGGAAATTTTCAAAGGCAAATACGTTTTCATCGCTTTAATTGAATAAAAATGATTTTTTTTTTTTCAGTCCTCTCAGCAGGAAGCGACAACAAAATATATCTGGGCGAAATCGACCCGCACTGATCTCATCCTGTTACTATTATTGTTATGCCTTTTGCTAGTTAAATCTGTTGTTTCTCTGTTTCTAGTTCTTTGATCAGCATATTTTTTTTTATTTTTTTTACGTAGTGGGTAGTGTTTTCCCAGGAATGTAAGATTTATGAGATAAAAATTCATGGGGATTAGAAAGAGGCGCGGGGAGGGGGGAGGTGGGACGGGGGGAGGTATTTTGAATCCCTAAGCTGGTCTGTCTGAAAATCCGTATATTTTTGGGGTAGCTGTTATGAAGTTGGATAAATTAGTTAACTTTTTTGAACTCTTTTTGTTACTTTTCACACATTCATAAAGCGGTAAAAGTTTTATTTTCATGCGCGATGATTTGTTACATTTCAGTGTTATTGCACGTTTTCTTCTTTTGTTATTCACATTTTTAGTGGTACTAATTATTTTGCTTTCCCAGTGGTTTGGTTTCTACAGTTTGTTAGAGAGCGAAAAAAGTGTTTTATGAAATATAAACTTTCCACCACATATACACGAGGCGCAGAAGCGCTCCAAAGTCATCAAGTTCTCTTCTGCTGTTATCTGTAACTTGCATTATAACGTTGGTATTCATAACAAATATATACTGTGAGTTCTGGTCAATGAAACTTTATTTGTAGGTATATACAAGAAACTAAGGTCTGGAAAACTTCGACTCACCAGAGCAGAGTTACGTGAAGAAAACAGCGACTCTGGGTGCCAGAGATGGGGAAGAGTGCTTTTATACCCCAGTGGCTACAGACCACAAAGACTGCACAACTCTAAAGGGAGTGGGTGTCCAAAGATTGAACTGGAGGCTAGGGGTGCTACATCATAATGATGCGATGGCTCCCTACGCAATTTTTAACAGAAAGCAATAAATCATTATGTGGCAAATTTAATATTTCAAAATTCTACGACAGTTTACCGCTCTTTTCCTACTTCTATTTGCAGTGATGAGTAAAAGTGTGATTAGTCGGAATGCTCGACTGTTCATTTCTCAGTCACAGAATATATTTGAGAATTTGGCATTCGAGGAATGGCTTCTGCGAAATTATCGGATTGATGAGCATGGCGAGTCGATGTTGCTCTGGAGGTGCATACGCCTTTTTTGCTTCTGATAATCGCTTTGTTTTGCTTCTGGTATCCGCACATGGCCAAGCTAACACGGGGGGACATCAGTGCGGTTGAGAGATCCCATGGTACGCTTGCTCAGTATCTCATAGCCATACAAGAATGAATATATGAAATGTTCAACTGGATTTTCGGACCTATTTTTGTTTTTCGCGATAATTTTTGGCGCTTCGTCGAATTCATGACGTTCCCCCATTGCAGTTACAGACATCTCTTCATCTTACCTTAACATCCATTATCTTGATTTTAGTGTGCATAGGTCTTACTAGATTTAAGGACCATACTACGACTAAGCAACAAATTTTGCTAATATTTTTGCTAAAATATTGTTTTTATTTCAAAATTAGTCAAGGCATATATGACTTAATGGGCCGAAACGTCTTATCTCACTCTTACCTTCTTCACTCATACTGCTCTTTCATGCTGTAATCTATCACGCCTTACTCATACGTTATCAACTTTTCCAAATGGTGGATTGGGGGCTGCAATGACGATTCCCAGCTCAATCCTCACTGAATACTGTCTATGTTTGCAGCTTAGGGATGAAACACAGACAGCCAAGCGTACATTCAGCCTTCCCACAGATCCTCATTACATCTCCTGAACCTTTTTTCATAACATATGCTGTTTCACTACGTCTTTTCACTTGTTTTCTTGGTCTTTTCTTTCATTCCAAGATCAGCCTAAATTTGCTGTGGTCGACTTAATCCTCTCTGTCTATTGTTTAGAAACAAACCAGCAGTGGTGATCGGACGGCATCAAAATCCATGGCTTGAAACCGATTTAAATTACCTCAAGCGCAATAATATCGAGCTTGTACGGCGTCACAGTGGTGGTGGTGCCGTGTACCATGATCTCGGTATGATTTTTAATAAATTTTTGAATATCTCAAGGAATTTTTTCGGCAATTCCCCCCTAAATTTTTCCAAGAATTTTTTCTGAATTTTTCTCTGGATTTGTATAATTTCAAGGACATGGACAAAAAGCAACATTTTCTGTGTAGGTTTTAAATTTTTGTCGGCTTTTCAATCAGCAAAAAAACGGAAGATACGATTGGCAGAACTCAAAAAAGTACGGCAGTGGTCGTAGTTGCTGTAGTCTTGAGCATTATTTATATGCCTTATTAATCACAATTGTTTTTCAGGTAATTTAAATATATCAATATTGACGTCACAACAAAGGCATAACAGAAAACGAAATTTGCATATGATAGCCTATGCGCTTAGTCAGAAATTAAATATACAGGTAATAATGTATTTACGATAGTCTAGAGACATATCCATTGCCGGGGGGAGGGGAGGGGAGTAGGGGGCAGGGGGATGGGTATTCCGGCACAGATAGCAGCTGTTTTACTGTAGAAAACTCTCTTCGATACCCCTTGTCGCCCTTGGTCTCTAGGAGCCTCACTTCCTTCCCCCTTCCCATGTCCCCAGTC